TATCAACTCTAGATATGTACATATTATTAACAGTAGAGCTCAATGATTCTTTTACTTATGAACCAAACTCACTACTTCAAATATCACTTATATAACCATCTTTCTTGCCATACTCATTACCCGGTCCTGAAATGAACTATCTCCTCGGGTTCAGAATTTCTTGTCAGCTTATCTTTAGGTGCTGAACCAGACGAAAGATGCTTACCAGAACTAGAACCATCAAATGAATCATGTAGGCCAACATGGATGTCAACACCACCTACTTCAATAAGGAAGCCGTCAGTCAAATACTGAAATAGAGTTAAACGTCCTGCAAGGGTCTGATTTTCTGCCTTCCACTTGAACGTCGTTCAGAAATGTATTTTTATTACAATCTGTCAGTATTTTTTCCAAACATATTTCTGTGGAACAGACAAAAACCATAGAATATCCCAAAAAATACTGTTCTTTCAACCAAAAAGAGAATGAATTTGTGTAACTTTCAGTGTACGGATAACTTTTAAACTCAAATCCAAAACAAACCGAACTTCCCCAAGTGGATGTGTTATAAAATCAAAATTATTGAATGTACTGGAGCAGTTATTGTTCATTTTAACAGAATACATCGAGTAATTACAGTTCCTTTCACGTCTCCTCAACGTTGTATCATTTGCTTTTCCTGACATCAAATCTATCTCCGCGCTATTTGACATTTTTACATCGACGAAGCGTGTGAGGATACAGGCTGTCTCCAGGTGTTATCGCGCAATGCCATCGGTTACCGCGCTCACGGCAACAGACGTTATAATCGCCTATTTTTTTGGAAATAGATTATATTTCACTAGTTTTAGACTTCTGTAGCCGGATGGCAGTAATTTGTTGTATTTTGTTCTTAGTAGAGCGTAAAATTGTATATTATAGCTCGGACGAATTATCAATGAAGAAGTCATCCTTTTTAAGAAAGTTCGCATAGAACGACTACTATTTGCATTATAGTGCGTTGAGGGTTTGTTTTTTTGCGACGAAAGACGAAAAAAACTGAGTCGCGGAAAATATAACACGAACCCACGTATATCCTCAGAGTGAGGATAAAGGCCGACACCAGGTGTTATCGCGCAATGCCATCGGTTACCGCGCTCACGTCAACAGACGTTATAATCACCAATTTTTTTGGAAATAGATTATATTTGACTAGTTTTAGACTTATGTAGCCGGATGGCAGTATTTTGCTGTATTTTGTTCTTAGTAGAGCGTAAAATTGTATATTATAGCTCGGACAAATTATCAATGAAGAAGTCATCCTTTTTAAGAAAGTTCGCATAGAAAGACTATTATTTGCATTATAGTGCGTTGAGGGTTTGTTTTTTGCGAGTTGTTTCAGATCTTAAGGTTGTAAATATACTGCAGGCAATGGCTGTTGTCATTCCAGTGAATCTATTAGAATCTGGCCTATGAAAGAGAAATAGCATACAGACATAGGTTAGATGTGTGCTTTGAACATGTTAAACTTTTCTGTTATCATCCGGGATGACTGAAATATTCCATAACACATTGATGACATTATGCGATGAATGAGACAGGCTGCTGAATTTCCTGGTTATTATATCTATTTAGATGAAGTTCCTAGTTAAAAGTGCTTGGGCGAAGATGTGAAAATAGTTTAATTGACATTTGCACATGGAATTTCACAATGCCTTAATTGCTCAGTGCATGAAATGGCATCAGAGTATATTGACATCAGTGTTCATTGTGTCTGGAAGAATAGTATAAATAGTCCTTCTCAAATGTCAGAGTACTTAAAATTAGTACCAGATTTATGTCGATTAGTAGCTGGCGGCTGTGTCGTACAACTACTACACCTGTTACATAGGTTATATCAATCTTAAAAATTATTTTGCTTCACATCACTAAGATATTGTGAGATCCTTAATGACTTAATTGTGGCTATGAAAGATGTAGAAGATGCACTTATGGCTGATATATTTAAAGCAGTTATTATTAAGCAAGTTATCTGTAAGCAACTTGTGATGTTCTGAATACTGCAAACTGTTGATAAGAAACTGCATCAAAGGAAAAAATGCTGAACAGCTAGAAAATACTACTGCAGTTTCGTTGGTTGTTACCTTTTGCATTTGTAACTCATTATTCCAAAGCTGCGATTGACGCCAAACCATCCATGGTACCCCACAGGCCCTATAGAAATTTGTGAGACATCTTACATGTCAGGTTGTCTTCCATATTATAAGGTTGCAGATCTTTCAATTTACCTCTCACTGAAGTATCACTTATCTACTTCACTATGGTCTTTTCATTTGTGCACTATTACACTGCATTTTATGTTAACTGGATATGCCTTTATGCTTACAGTCTATTTGCTTTTATTAGAAACACAACAACAGCAGTGTTGGAACAAAGCTGTATTTTCATAGAAAACATCATATTTTCTATCCTTACACCAATATGGTTGGCATTAAACATTGCAGATGTATACTCACATTCCAACGACATAGCACTTAGCCAAATGTACGGTGTTCATTATTAAGGGTTTACAATTTAACTCTTATAATTCATGATACTTCACGATTGCAGTTTATAACATAACTTATTGCGCCTGTAGAAATGACATGCATTCATTGTAAACATTGGTTTAAACGAAATTTGAAATTATTACTATATGCTTGCTGCTATCCTTTAGAAGAGGAATAATGTGTGTTGCAGTGAAAACCCCAGAATAATGATGTCATTACCAAAGAATGAGAAAGGAGAACAAAACATTTTCAGCAAAGGTAGGCAGATATAAATCGTTTACCTTTAATATTACTTCTTCCTTACTTCAGCTATTTAAAAAACACTTTGTTTACTTATTTGTAGATATCTGGTAACGTCAATCACCCCAGTCACAGAGATTCGACATTGCACAAATTATTCCGACAATCGACTGCGTAAACACATTTGCTTGTTATTATTTTTTCATTAAATACATTTAATATCCTGCTTACCAGACCTTTCTTATTATATCTGAGTTTAGATGTATTTGTCATGATGACTAGGTGCAGACATGACTTATTAATAAGAACTGACGAAGTAATTGGTGGCATATTTTAGTGTAAGCTAAATCTAAATACGATTGTTAAAGCTCAACGAATTCAATAATTCGTCTGGTGTAGAGTTGAATTTACGCTACATGTCAACAGCCTTAGTCATATGGATTGACATCACGCTTTAAGTGAAACATTAGTAATGCAATACTTTCGAATACACGTAACCGTATAAGAACTGGGACTCGAATGCAGTGCCTAAGGTATGCCTACTATTGTCCCTAAAGACTTGTATATGACTATGATACTTATGCACGTTAGCTAACTGAAATACTTATAATTTAACACGTATGCTGACCGACATCGTTCCTACACAATTACACTTACGTATTGTTAGTAGTGAAAGTCCTAGAGAGCACCGGTCTAGCATGCCGTGCTCACAAAGTGAACACATGAATTGAAAGACAACAAAATTTACATGAAAATTTTATTTTCATTATGACAAAAATTTAGTTTATTTACATATTAAGAACACGATTGATTCCTGCGATTACTCCGTCTGCATAAGCATTGGCAAACACTTCTCCAAATTTGTCATTAATTCTGTCCATACCCGCATTGATAATCTTCTTTTTGGTATCGTATATGTTACTTCGATTTCGAGGGATAACTGCTGACGTACTTTGAGATGCGAACAAGTTGCGTGACCACGTCCATTGTTTACAATTATGCATCACATGGTTAACTACAAAAGGTGGAACAAAAAAAGTTAAGATAACTATGAACTGATTATTACATTACATTATACATTAAAAACGTAGTCATAAAAACGCAAATATACCTGTGAAATACGGCTTTCTTAAGTGGACCAAAAGCAAGTGTCGGCAGGGGTACCGACAGGTCTGAAATGTAAAGCACGTGCAGGTGCAAGCACTCAGATCAACCTGCACTGTTTTCCCATTTTCTTTGAAAAATACATAATCAACGGATTCGAACTCAACAGTAGCCCATCGTCGCAATTGGTATTCACGTATTACCTTCCTCGCGGCGTATGGTGTAAGCAACCGTATAATTGGGATTAAACTTTGTGAACAGGGATACGTGAAGCATCGTGATTGAGCAATATTCGCCTCCTGCTGTATTATTGAAAAACTTCGTTTATGCCATTTATACACCTTTAGCATACTTTTATGCAGACTATCAGATCTTTGCAAAAACCGTTTCATCTGCTTGTGGGAACTCTCGACACGATTATTTGTATCGTTCCCAAAAGTCAGCACGTTATCTCTGAAACAGGCCGCCCACAATTCTCGTCGATGCATCCAACGACGTTGTAGGTATTGACTGACATTAGCATCCAATCTGCTAATAACTCTGAAGTAGAAATTAAATCTGCAAAATGAGAACAATAGAGGCATTACTCTGATCTCCTTTTACACTGCACTAGACGGCATAAGTAGTTCTTCACAATGGGATTTCTTGTCTACGAATAAAATGTAAAGTATGCTTTGAAAAACTTACTTTCCGACAGAAAGCTCGGCAAACATGAAAAGAACACAAAACAATGTGCGCTTGTCTGTGCGTTAACTTGACGGCTGCTATTTCAGCTTGCGCACAATCCATAATGAAGGATTCTGTTTTCGAGGTGTCTTCCATTATTTGCCGGAAACAGTCTAATATCCAAACTACATCTCGTTTGAATTCTTTTCTAGTCCACGCAAATAAAACTGGTCGTCCACGACCAAAATTATCCGTCACAAGTAGCTGGAACAAAGAATACCTGCACGTTGATTAATGAATTGGTAAACTTACTTCCCTTTGTTTGTATTATACGTCGAATCAATACCAACAACTTCAGGGAACTGTTTATACAATTCCATTTGCTCATAAGTTGCAAAACAAATTCTTGTTAGTGAATTCCTGATCGGTTCATCGGAATAATACTCCATTAACTTCCCACGGGATTTTAGGAATTCAAAAATGTCACGACGACTCGAAATACCTTAAGTATGTAACAAGTACGTCAACGTTACCTTTATTCACTGCGGCTTTCATATTTTTAACGTCAATGCGAGTTATATCCTTGTTGTACTTCTCCTTAACATGCATTATTATTTCATCGGATGAGTGGGATTGCTGAAGAAGTGGTTCAATATTTTCTTTCTCTTCAACTGTTAGTCGTCTATACCATGGGTCATTCTGCATGTACACCCTGCTGCATGGATGGTTATGCACCATATTGTGGGAAGCAATTATGTATTCACTATGATGCAAAACCACGCGAAATGAAGACGAGCAATTGCAACATTTAGACCTGCAATATTCATGAAATCATATTACACTTCTTCTTACGACTTGTTTTTCAATTTCAATCCACGTCTTGTACGATTCACTCCAAAAGTGCATTTAAAACCAACATAAGCGTACTTAAACCTGGCATCCGGCATCGTTTTGCTGCAATTATGAACATAGTGAGTGTAGGATAACTACACTGTTAGCATTAAATGACTTCCTCACTTTTTGAAATTCTGCTAATGACTTCTCAAATTCATCCCAGCTGAAGAAACGCTTTCCAAGTATGTATTCAGCAAAAATTCCACTTAAATCTGTGCTCCTGTCACTCGAATTGACTACCTGCAACGGACTAAAATAAAGTTATCAATTAGGATCCATCTATGTCACAACTATTCCAACATAAATCGTAAAAAAACAACATTGAAATACAGGGATGATCGATAACCATCAAGAAAATGCCGCACGTATAACCTAAATTACAGAAAAACACAAGAACCCACCGGTTCGTTGACATCGCAAGCAACCAATAGACCAAACAACGAATTGTACGACAAATAATGCCTAGTACATGCACAAACAAAGAAAAACAAAGCGTTACAATAGTTTCATACACGTTTACAGTAATCACATATGCTGGCAAACGACGCAAACACAACCACGCAAATACAGCACCCGACAGCACACACCCAAGGACAATTCAAACTCCAATTGACCGCCACCATTCTAGCCAATGAAAGACGAAAAAAAATTATTCGCGGAAAATATAACACGAGACAACCTATATACTCACCCATATCCTCACCCGACGAAGCTCCTTTATACATTACTATTATTGTTACCTTTAGTCCCTAGATTAACATAGGGCTTCAGCCGCACGTCCCCATTCCACTTCGCTCTTTACCAACGTTTTCATCACCTGGCTCCACGTCTGTTTACATGCTTTCATCTCCTCTTCAGATAACCTCCCCCACTCCATGCCACTCTCACACTGACGACTAACTCCAAGTTCGTCGAACTGATTCAAATAACGAATGAAATAAGTTTCTTGTGTTTGAAAAATTACTCTAGAAATTCTATGCATTCAACATGAGGAACAAGATTCAAATATACAAAAGTGTCATATGAAATTGGGGCGTTCTATATGTAATTCTGAGGCTTGGAGTTGGCTGGAAAGTTTAAGCAACAAAGAATTCTGGAAACAACAACAGCAACAACGACCCAGAACCTATCGTCCAAAAATTTGCATAGGAAAACTGAGGTGGATTGGACACATGCTGAGGAAACTGTTCAGTAACATAACACACTCCATCGACTTCAGCAAAATACAAATGGGAGACAACGAATTTGGCATGATAATATATGCGTAGAACTTCGGCACTGTGGTAGAAAGTAATTCCATATTAGTTTGTTTATTAGATATATCACACATACAGAGTGGAACAGTATTATTTACTGGATGACAAAGTTTTGAACAAAATTTACCACTGTTCATAATCATTTCATCAATTATAATCACACGACTTCGAAACTTGAGTTTTATAGTTTTCTTTGTTCTCTCCTATTTGTCGTCGTTGGAGTGGTAGAATATTCCAGATGTCTGAGTGGACAAGGGTTGAATCATTCCTATTACACGTATTTTGTTCACTTGATTCTATGAACATAGCTTCTGTTATCAATCTCTTCATCCATTCTGTTAAATTAGATTAGATTTTGAAACTGTCATCCTATCCCATCCATCCTATTGTATGGTTGTGTGTAATTACATGTAGTGTGTGCTAAAGCTGAACTATTCTCCAGATTTCTTATCTTATTCGGGCCAAGTGATCTAAATTTAGCTAGGCTGTAGTAATTTATTGTACTTGGAAATATTAATATACCGGATGACGGAATTATAGGAATCTAAACAAAACCCAGAGAGGGCAGCAATCAGGAATTTGTATTTAGCGGGATTAGAATGCAATTCATATATGAAACATATCAACAGTCAACAGTTAGTATTTTAAACAATACAGAGATAGAAATTGTCAATCACCACATCCGCCACACGTCGAATATCTCCTTGCGTATTTATAACGATGTCTCGGTTTGCTTGCAAGTAGCTTCGAGCTAACCGATTCTGTGATATTATTTTCATCAGTACTATCTGGACTTATTTCTGAATTATCTACAAAATCAGGATTATTAGCGGAATCAATAATATTATAATTGGAACGACCTACTTCATTTATTGTCACTTTGTCCAGGTGTCCGTTATGAACTGAGTGATCTTTGATGTCTAATATCTTCACCACTCGATTTCCCATTTTTTGTAGTATAATTCCAACAGAAGGTCTATAGTCTTTCCCTTTGTAATAATGTACATTAGAAGTCGCGGATATCAGACGCTTCTTGAGAATTCGAGATTTGAAACGTTTTGCAGGACTTTCACGGCTACTTGTATGCTCTGCATTCGACGGACGCAGTCTATGCATATGCAGTAATTCCTCAATTTTAATCAGTTGCTCTCTCATCTCATTCAGGTCTTTTCGTGTCTTCGACAGTTCGCACTGTAACTCAGCTACCTCATCTTTGAAAACAGTTGACACTTGAGTTGCCGAACTTGTAGTGGAGGTTTTCCTTGGATTAGCTTGAGTATTTTGAAAAGTTGAAAGACACATTGACTCCATTTCACTAGACAGCTTGGGAGAATTATAAGAATGTTGAGCAACATATGTATTCGAACTTCTGTAAACCGTCTTGATGTGTCCAGCTTTACCACACTTATAGCACTAAGCACCCCGAAAACGGCAAGTGCTTCGTATATGTAACTTTCCACAGGATAAACACGGTTTAATGTTTTTGATCTCTCGCTGCATTCTATTACCTGTGGACGGCAGTTTGGATTTCTTTCCATGAACACTTGTATTTTTGACTTTGGACAGCATGACATCAGATACTGACGTAGTGGGAGCACAGTATTCATTATGGACATCTTCATATGTAATACATACCTCTTTAGCAGTTTGAAACGTACAAGAAGGAATCTGAATTAACTCCTTCTCTAATTTAGGAATGTTGATTCCAGCAATTAGACGATCACGTAGTTGTGTATGCAGCTGATCTCCAAAATTACACTTTGAGGCTTGAATTTGAAGTTGAAGAATAAATTCTCGAATCTTCTGGTTGGGAGAACGTACCAGTTTGTTGAAGTGAGCCCTCTCTCTGGTCTCAAATGTAGTCACATGAAAGTGATTTATCAGAAGTTCACGGATCTTGTCATATGACATAGAAATGGGTGGCACAGTGGTTAGGACCTCGCCGACCATGCACATGGTCCCGGGTTCGAGCCCTCGCCGACGCACACCTGATATCTATGGTCGGCCTGCGAATTTTGGGCTACCGATATCCACGCTGAAAATTCCATACTTGTACCAAAAATACGGTGTGGAATCAAGCTGCAATCAAAAATAAAAAATAAAATAAATAAATAAATCTGGAAATGCCAGATTCTTCACCAGGCTATATGCATCAAGCCCAATAGCGGTGATGAAATGAGCAGGTATTTTATCATCCCGAACATTCTTGGAAATGCACCACGCATCAAAGCATTCCAAATAATCAGCAATCTCCCGCGGAGAACCATTAAGAGGAAATTTTCCCAGGTTACTTAGCTCCATCGCGACGCCAATTTGTAGTAATTTATTGTACTTGGAAATATTAATATACCGGGATGACGGAATTATAGGAATCTAAACAAAACCCAGAGAGGGCAGCAATCAGGAATTTGTATTTAACGGAATTAGAATGCAATTCATATATGAAACATATCAACAGTCAACAGTAAGTATTTTAAACAATACAGAGATAGAAATTGTCAATCACCACATAGGCTTTTATGGTCAGCTAATCTGACTTCCCCTGTTCTACTACTTTGACCATATGTATTTGACCTGACAATCATTGCAGGCATGGAATTAAATAAACTAAATCGTTTTGTTTTAAAGGCTCCACAGGATCCACCATTTAACCGACAAAGCTTGTTTCTAATTGAGTTTGTGGGTTTGAATGGCAGCCACTTTTATTCCTGCATTGTTGAGAATTCTCCGCTGTAAGGTTTCCGAGGTTCCTTCTTTGTATGGAATTACTACTGATCATTTAGATTCCATATTGTTGGTGTTGTTATTGTCTTTCGCATGTTTGACATGCATATCGTCATTAATATTACTGTAATTATAATAATTATTATTTTCACTATCACTAGTATCATTATTTATTTTATTTTTACATTTTCCTACATACTTTTTGATTAATTAATCAGTGTAATTATTAAGTTTGAAAGCTTCGCTTATATGCCTCACTTCCTGTCTCAGATTTTCCTTGTCACTGCTTAGCTTTTGCGCTCTATTACTTAAACATTTCACCAGTCCTGTTTTCACTGACATAGGATGGGATGATCAGAAGTCCAAATATCTGGAAGCTCCCCTTCCTGACTTTACAATTCATAAGTGAATTGAATTGCCTCCACCTATGAGTTAATGTGTTCGAGAAGTCTATCTATATCCTGTGTTGTAAGTACAGTGCATGCGTCATCTACATACCTGCACCATACATTTGGGGTGGGGGTGAACGTTTCAATCGCCATGTTTTCCCACCTATCCATGAATATATCTGCCACAAGCGTAGATACTGGTGACCCCATGGCAACTCCCTGAGTTCCTTTTTGTATTTTCACTAGAATTTTAAGATCAATAAAGGAAGCTTTGTTTATCGGATCAACTGAAGAGAATACGTGTAATAGGAATGATTCAACATATGTCCACCCTTGATATCTGGAAAATTCTACTCCCCCAACTACGATAAATAGGAGAGAACAAAGAAAACTATAAAACTCAAGTTTCGAAGTCGTGTGTGATTATAATTGATGGAATGATTACGAACAGTGGTAAATTTTGTTCAAAACTTTGTCATCCAGTAAATAATACTGTTTCACTCTGTATGTGTGATATATCCAATAAACAAACTGTTATCGAGTTTGGCATGAATCCTGGAATAATATGGAGGAGATTGTTCAAGAAGGAAATGTGAAAGCTTATAGGCAATCATGAAGCCAGCCAATAGAGACAGAAGCGGAGAAGAAAGTGAAAGGGTGATGTGCTGGTCTGTCTGGAACTTA